AATACATGTTTTAATATAATTGATTTGTTTTTGGGTAAATTTGGGAGAGGTTTTTTAAATAAACAAATTTCAGGGGTTAGGATTATAATTAAATCTGTAATTGTGTTAATTATTTTATGAATCGAATTCCAATATTGTTTTATTAAAGGGCATGTCCAAAAAATATGGTCTAAGGACCCCACTTGTCTACAATACCTCCAACATTTGTTTGAATTTAATCATTTCACACTGTCATTCTCTGAAGTTCTGCCTGTGCATAACACTCAGAATGACAGGTGGATGCGTATTAGGGACTTTAATTTGTGGCTTGGTGAATGGTGTTGGGAGCAAGGATTTGGCTTTATTTCTCATGGTAGCTCTGTTTGGAATGGAGATAAGCTGTACAAAAAAGATGGTTTGCATCTTTCTCAAAAGGGAACAAATGTTCTCAGTGAGCAGTTCAGAGGTTTTGCTAGGATGTATTTAAACTAGGAGGGGGGGGCAAAAGGGTGATAAAACATCAATCCAATTGTCCCCCAAAACAAGGACAGAAGGTGCCTGTAGCAAGTGTGTTAAAAAATGATAAGCTTAGAGTCATGTCTACAAATGCTCGCAGTTTAGGGAATAAGATCCATGAACTTGTGGCAATAATGGCAACTGATAGTGTAGATTTAGTCGCTGTTACTGAGATATGGTACAATGAGAAAAATGACTGGGACATAGCAATACCAGGGTACTCTTTATATAGGAAAGATAGGGAAGGCAAGAAAGGGGGAGGGGTGGCCTTGTATGTGAAGGATAGCATAAAATCTAGCCTAATAAAAGTTAGTGAGGCAAACATAGAGTCCGTTTGGGCTACGTTAGAATTTGGTAATCACACAGTAACTCGTGTAGGTGTGATTTATAGGCCCCAGGACAAATTGAAGAGTTAGATAATCTACTAGTTGAGGAAATAGCTAAAATGACAATGAAGGGGAAGTTATCATCATGGGTGACTTTAATCTTCCTGATGTAAATTGGAAAACAAAATTAGCTACTTGTGCCAGGAGCACACATATTCTAAACTCCCTACTGGGATTGTCTCTAAAACAAGTTGTTGAGGTGCCAACTCATAAAGAGGCCATACTAGATTTAGTGTTAACAAATGGAGATTTGGTATCAGATATTACTGTAGGTGAAAGTTTAGGATCCAGTGATCATCAGTCAGTGTGGTTTAATATAAGAACAGTGACTGAGTCACACCACTCAAAAACAAAAGTTTTAGACTTTAGAAAAACAGACTTTTCTAAAATTAGAATATGGGTAGAGGAGTCATTATCAGACTGGAGAAATTTAAATGGAGTCCAAGAGAAATGGGATTATTTAAAAGTTGCACTATTGAAGGCAACAGAAAATTGCATTAGGCTTGTCAGTAAAAGCAAAAAATTCAAGAAACCACTGTGGTACTCCGCAGATGTGGCCAAAATAGTTAAAAACAAAAAGTTAGCATTTAGGAATTATAAAAAAAACCAGAGTGAGGAAGACAAAATGATCTATAAGATTAGGCAGAAAAAGGCTAAGCAAGTTATAAGAGCTTCCAAATCACACACAGAAGAGAAAATAGCACAGTCAGTAAAAAAAGGGGATAAAACATTTTTTAGATACATAAATGAGAAAAGTAAAGTAAAACAAGGAAAGGGACCTCAGTTGAGAAAAAGGATAAATGAGTCATTTATTACACGTGAGTTTACAGAGGAAGAGGTTCTATTTCAACTGTCAAAAGTAAAGACAAATAAGTCAATGGGACCTGATGGAATACACCCAAAGCTATTAAAAGAGCTTAGTGGTGTTCTAGCAAAACCATTAACAGATTTATTTAACCAATCATTGTTAACAGGAGAAGTCCCAGAAGATTGGAAGTTAGCGAATGTTGTGCCCATTTACAAGAAAGGTAATAGGGAGGAGTCGGGCAACTATAGGCCAGTAAGCCTTACTTCAGTAGTGGGGAAAGTGATGGAAAACATGTTAAAGGATAGGATTGATGAACATCTAAAAACACATGGATTTCAAGATCAGAGACAGCATGGGTTTACTTCAGGGAGATCATGCCAAACTAATCTTATTGATTTTTTTGATTGGGTAACTAAAATTATAGATCAGGGTGGTGCAGTAGACATTGCTTACCTAGATTTCAGTAAGGCTTTTTGACACTGTTGCACATAGAAGGCTTATCAATAAACTGCAATCTTTAAGTTTGGATTCCAATATTGTTGAATGGGTAAGGCAGTGGCTGAGTGACAGGCAACAGAGGGTTGTAGTTAATGGAATATATTCTAAGCTTGGACTTGTCACCAGTGGGGTACCTCAGGGATCTGTACTTGACCCATTCTCTTTAATATTTTTATTAGTGATATTGCAGAAGGTCTTGATGGTAAGGTATGTCTTTTTGCTGATGATACTAAGATATGTAACAGGGTTGATGTTCCAGGAGGGATACGCCAAATGGAAAATGATTTAGGTAAACTAGAAAATGGTCAGAATTGTGGCAACTGACATTTAATGTGGATAAGTGCAAGATAATGCATCTTGGATGTAAAAACCCAAGGGCAGAGTACAGAATATTTGATAGAGTCCTAACCTCAACAAATGAGGAAAGGGATTTAGGGGTGATTATTTCTGATGACTTAAAGGTAGGCAGACAATGTAATAGAGCAGCAGGAAATACTAGCAGAATGCTTGGTTGTATAGGAGAGGTATTAGCAGTAGAAAGAGGGAAGTGCTCATGCCATTGTACAGAACACTGGTGAGACCTCACTTGGAGTATTGTACACAGTACTGGAGACCGCATCTTCAGAAGGATATTGATACCTTAGAGAGGGTTCAGAGAAGGGCTACTAAACTGGTTCATGGATTGCGGGATAAAACTTACCAGGAAAGGTTAAAGGATCTTAACATGTATAGCTTGGAGGAAAGACGAGACAGGGAGGATATGATAGAAACATTTAAATACATAAAGGGAATCAACACAGTAAAGGAGGAGACTATATTTAAAAGAAGAAAAACTACCATAACAAGAGGACATAGTCTTAAATTAGAGGGGCAAAGGTTTAAAAATAATATCAGGAAGTATTACTTTACTGAGGGTAGTGGATGCATGGAATAGCCTTCCAGCTGAAGTGGTAGAGGTTAACACAGTAAAGGAGTTTAAGCATGCGTGGGATAGGCATAAAGCTATCCTAACTATAAGATAAGACTAGGGACTAATGAAAGTATTTAGAAAATTGGGCAGACTAGATGGGCCGAATGGTTCTTATCTGCCGTCACATTCTATGTTTCTATGTTTGTATTTGAATTTGTTTAATTTTGAGGGGGTTAGGTACCATCTGAATAATAATTTATAATGGGATTCATAATGAGAGACGAACTGTGTAATACCTTTAAATTATAAAATAAAACCATTTCAATCATCCAGATCAAAGGCCAGACCTAAGTCCCACTCCCAATATAGCATGAAGTCTGATTTCTCATTGTTGTTGTCAAGTAAAAAATAGATTCGGTATGTTTCTTTTCCAGATCCAAAAAATTTAATTTTTCTATAGGTGAGAATAATATTGATCTCTTATTCAGATCCAAGTTGGAAGCATCAGATTTGTAGGGCTTTTCCCTTTCTTTTTAAGTGTAAAAAACGTATTGGAAGTATAGATCTAACTAGACAGGCATAGGAAATAGGTAGAGAAATAGAAATAAGTGTTAAATAAAAATCATGGTGCTACAGCCACCAGTGCCCAGTGCTCATATACATGATATGAGAAGAGAATGCCCGACGTACGTTTCGGTGCTATAGAGGAGCACCTTCGTCAGTTAGATTTACAGGGAGAGAGGCTTGCTTAATTTTAAATATCAGTCTGTTTTTTAGACTGAATACTGACTATATTTCACTTTCCATCTCTCCCTTTTATCTTTATTAGCTCTATTGTGAGCCTTTTGTTACACTAACTATTGACATTTTTAAGTGGGGTACTATGTTGGGGATTTAGCCATTTGTAACTCATACCCTTATAGTGTATTACAATAAAGCTGATAATTAGGGTTGAGGCAGGATACTAGATGGCAGATTTTTATCCCCATGCATACCCCCTTTATTTGGCATGGAACTCGAGTCACACTTGTATATACTTTATTTGACTTTTTCTGTTTTTGGGTCTCTAGTTATATTTATAATTTTGTAAATCAGGTTTTTGGATTACACTCTATCGCTATAGACATTTCCAGATATGTGGTTAGTCTCTAGGACATGGGGAGACTGACTGCATTGTGCAATATTTCTTGTTTCTTGCTTTTCAAAGGATTTGCTATTTTTGGATTTACATTTTTTTTTTTTAATTTTCAAAATACTAAAATATAAAAAAAATATATCATATATAGAAAAATACATCACAGCGTTGCTACAAGATTCAGCAAGTGCAACAGGGAGTGTGGCCTGACCGTCGATGTAGACAGAGCTCTCTCACTGAAGCCTCTGAATAAACAGACACCAAAGATGAAATAGAACATAATATTATATATTATTATATTATATCGCTCCTCTTACTCTTTTCAACTAACCTGTATGTGCCGGTGTAGTCCTCAGCTAATTGTTCGTCGAGGTGCAGCTGTACAGTTACACATCAAGCCGGTCAGCCAGCCGGACAGCCAGTCAGCCTGTCAGCCTCTACTCTATCCACCCCAATCATTCAATCTCTCCCTAATCTCTCCCTACTCCTCCCTATTCTCTGCAGTGTAATACCGCTACATACTGCTACATACTATTACATATTGCTGCATTACCATAACAGTGTAGCGCTGTAATTGATACTTTCAGCCGATGATGTTTTTTTTTTGGGGGGTAGGGGGGACAGCATCCCCTGAGCTCTCTTCAAAAGGGAAAAGAAAAAGAAAAGAAAAAGGGAATTATACCCCTTTTGGACTTACCACTGATTAAATCCTCGCAGAAGGGGTCCAAGCCGAAGCCCAGGAGCAGCACTCTCCACTCTCTTCATACCATGTTCCAGCCAGCGAGACCTGCGGACGCAAATGAAGATGCTGCAAAATCCACAAAGTGGGTGACTTCTGGTGCTGTGAATAGTGGCCTGGACACAGCAAACAGCCTGGAAAGCAGGAAAAACAGGGACAGCCACGAGATTCATCCAGACTCAGGAGAGGGAGGATCAGGTAAAATTTTACCTACTGATATAGCTAGCATTGCTATACCTATTGTGCAGATACCAGGACCAGATGGCATACAATGCATATTAGCACAAATGAAAGAGGATAGAATTTTTTTAGCGGGAGAGATTGAGAGAAATGCTAGGGAAATAAGATTAGAGATTCAGGCAACTGGTAATCAGACCGCCACTCTAGAGGTGAGGGTAGAGGCTGTGGCTAAAGTGCATAATGATTTATTACTACAGAGCTCGGAATGGGGCACAAGGCTTGATGCCTTAGAAGTGGCATTTGAGGATCTTATTAATCGATCTCGACGCAATAATATTAAAATTAGAGGGATACCAGAAACAAGAGACAAGGGCCCGGTGCAGAACTTGGTTCTAGAAATCTTTAGACCCTTATTACCAGACATTCCTGAACCCAGATGGAAAATCGATAGGGCGCACCGCTTATCAGGTGGTCCACGAAGGAACGACAAACGTCCCCGAGACATAATAGTGAGATTCCAGTATCATAGCACTAAAGACGCTGTAGTGCGCAAATGTAGGGGGATGGAGGTTACTTACAGAGAAAAGGCACTTCAGATATTCCAAGATCTTTCTCCATCCACTCTCTTAGAGAGAAGGCAATGGAAGCCAATTACAGATCATCTGAGACTCAATAACATTCCCTTCGCCTCGGGCCATCCCTTTAAACTTCTCACTTTTCATAATGAACAAACCAGAGCTTTACTACCAACGGGGGATCCAGGTAGATTTTATCAGATAATGGGTCTGGACACCTCAGAGGGAGTAACACCCTTATTTCTACAAAAGACCCCACTACCTGCTCTAACCAGAGAATTGTATGATGGGAGAGAGAATCAAAGTTAAAAGGACAATAGATTCTTATTCCTCTAGGTTAATCCTTTTTGTAAAAGGGGAAGGAAGGAAGAGGACTGACTGAAGGGTGGTGGGAAGCGGTATATATTGTGATATTCATGGTGATTGTGAAGGGGTGAATAGGGAATTGAAGGGATTACGAGAAATAGATTAAGTCATAGCATATTAGTGCACGACGAAGGTTTAGTATAGTAAGGCATGTACGGGAAGAAATAAGCATGTTATATAAGAGTATGTATTTCATAAATGATACTCACTATAAAAATTTAAATTTAAATCTCAACAACAATTTAGCAGGAAAAGGTTGCTTAGTAGGATAATATTGGTCTGTACGGCTCTGTACAGAGTTTGAGGACGGACTATATGTGTTAACAAGATTTTTAGGAAAGTGTAAGAGGACCCATGCTATATCAAGGAAAATCAGGTTTCTAGTATTAGTTTAAAAATCTAGGCTTCAGGTTGATGGGATCAGTTGCAGTTAATCCCATGGCCGAATTAGACCTGGGAGAACTGTGCCCCCTAATTAACTCCTGGCATTTGGTAAGTCCAGGAGGTATCCACTGTATATATTTTTTTTGGAGGGGGGTGAGGGGGAAAGGAGGGGAAAGGAGGCAGGGTTGCAGGGGTTTTTTTTTTCTCTCCTGGCTCGGTATACATTATTCTTGTAGGTCTGTTAAATTTATTGGGCCAAAACATCTGCTTGTATATTGGTTGAATTATGATGGATGAGAAGATAATTTCCTTAAATGTAAAAGGCCTTAATTCACCTGCAAAAAGGAAGATAATGTTTAAGGAATTGAAAAGAATGCAGGCGGATATTGCTTTCTTGCAAGAAACTCACCTTAACAGATCTCACCTTTGACAGATAAATGGTATGATAGAGCGTATTGTTCGAATGCTATTCGAAAACATAATGGAGTAGCTATTTTGTTCCATAAAAGATGCCAGTTTAAAGTCATAAATTCCATTCAGGATAAAGAAGGAAGATATATCTTAGTGTCTGGAATGATGGGCACCCGCAAGCTTCATCTAATGAATATATACGCCCCAAATGTCCAAGATAATAGATTTTGGGATACTTATTAATTCTATAGCGTCAGATTGTCTCTTGATAGGTGGGGATTGTAATGCTGTCTCTTGTCCAGCAATAGATAGGAGCCATAAGCCAGGAACACTGCGAGCTCAGGGAAGGGGAGGACAGGACAAACAGTTCTTTCACTTTGTGACAGCTCATAAACTTATTGATATATGGAGGGCTCAACATCCTGACACATTCGATTATACCTTTTATTCGCATCCACATGATACGTATTCTAGAATATATATGTTTTTGACCAATTTAACACTTTCACCCTATTTATATAGCTCACAAATTAATATATCACGTGGTCAGATCACGCAGATATCGCTGTATATATAAAAGGATTATCAGCTAAACCCAATTTTTCTTGGCGACTAAATACTTCTCTTTTGGAGGATCCCCTAGTTAGAGCAGATATTACAAAGGTACTGTTAAATTATTTTTCTGAAAACAATACACCTGAAATCAGTAAAACCACTCTATGGGCAGCACATAAAACTGTAATTAGGGGAGAATTTATCAAAATAGCTTCGTATAAGAAAAAGATTAAATCACAATCATTATTTGAGTTACAGAAAGGTTTACGGAAGCTGGAACAAAAACATAAAACAGTCCCCACAGTCCCCACATGACCTAAAAACGTATAGATTAAAAATTAAAAATCTTTTATTAGATGAAGCAGTATGGCAGTTAAAAACAACACGTAGATATTTTTATGAGAAAGCTAATAAAATAGACGCCCCTCTGGCCAGATGCTTAAAACCACGAACACACTTTAAACCTATCTCAGCTATCAGAAATGCTTCGGGAATAGTATCGTCACCAGACGAGGTTTATGGAGTGTTTTGGGAATATTTTTCCAGATTGTATAGTCAATTTATAAATGAGAATGGAGAGGGTACGGACCAGGAGATAAGACTGAGAGAATTCTTGAGTAGGACGAACTTACCCCAAATCCCCAAAAGTGCCCTAGAAGGATTAAGGACAAAAATATCTATAGAGGAGATTAAACCTGCATGTTCTTCTATTAAGGGGGGTAAAGCACCAGGGCTGGACGGCTTTAGTAGCAGTTACTATAAAATATTTCAACAAACTCTCATGTCATATTTACGAGAGGTCATTTAGCGGAGTTCTTCCAGGTGATCTTACAATGGCCAAAATTGTTCTTTTACCAAAAAAAAGATAAGGTCCCTGCATCAGTGGGAAATTACAGACCTATATCGCTGATAAATGTCGATATAAAGATAATAGCCAAAGTCCTTGCCCTGAGGCTCTCTCCCTTACTCCCTATCCTGATTCACCCAGATCAGGTAGGTTTTGTTCTGGGCAGACAGCTGTACGAGAATACGCGTAGAGCAGTCAACGTCGCTTGGGTCATGGCAACAGGGAAGACACCATCGATACTCTTGTCACTAGATGCAGAAAAAGCATTTGATAGTCTCGCTTGGCCTTATCTATTTTATTTGCTTCAATATTGGGGCTTTCCGGCTAACTTTATTACTATAGTTCGAGCGCTATATTCGAATCCCGAAGCAACAATACAGCTCCCTGGCGCAGATAAGACTCCGTTTGGAATATATAATGGCACACGTCAGGGATGCCCCCTCTCCCCTATTCAGTTTGCCCTTATATTAGAACCTCTTCTGATTCACATTAGAGAAAGTGGCAATATACAGTGTATCCAAATAGGTAGGGAGATTTATAAAACAGCGGCTTATGCCAATGATATACTAATCTCTATAGCAAACCCTTCTGAATCTATCCCTGAATTGTTCAAGTTGATAGAACAATTTGGAGCTATTTCAGGTTATAAGGTAAATTATAATAAATCATGTGGAGTGACTTTTCATTTATCCGAGGCAGAACAAGACCAACTAAAAGCTACATTTGATATGTGTATAGATAAATCGCTAAGCTATTTGGGTATTAGAATTAGACGCTATTATAATACATTATTTAATGACAACTACGTACCTTTGATTAAAACTTTGAAAAAGGACTTAGAGAATTGGCACGATAAGCCAATTTCATGGATCGGCAGAATTCATTCTATAAAAATGAATATTTTACAAAGGCTTCTATATTTATTTCAAGCATTGCCTATACAGGTTTGCAAAGGGGACCTACTGGGTATCCAGAAAGCTATAGATACATTTATTTGGCAGGGCAAGTGACGCAGGGTAGCCAGAACTCTCCTGTGTAGACAGAGAGACAAAGGGGGACTAGGTCTCCCCAATTTAATTATTTATTATTATGCAGCCCAACTGGCACATTATTGGTTGGCATGCAATCCAAGGGAAATACAGTTGGGCGGATATGGAGGAAGACTTAATGACACCAGACTCACCAGGACTGTATATGTGGCTTAATAAGGTTTCAAGACCAGTGCTAAAACAAATATGCCCTTCTACTGCAAACTCCCTTTACATTTGGGATAAACTCAAGTTAAAGCATGGTCTAACTAACTTCCCTTCGCCTATGACTCCTGTTTTTCGGAATAGACAATTTATCCCTGGCCTGGAAGAATACAATTTTCAAAGCCTAAAAGCAGGAGGAATCTATAGATATGTAGATCTTTGGTCAGAAGGAGAGGTAGTTCTATTTTCTAGATTATCGACCAGAATAGAGCTGAGGAGAGGAGATTTTTTTTCGCTATTTGCAGATTAGAGACTTCACGTACTCAATCGAGGTAAAAACGGCAGTCAAACTCCCCTTAACCAATTTTGAAAAAGTCTGCAAAATAGGAAGGATAAAGGGAGCTCTTATTTCTGATTTCTATAATCAGCTAAGTGAGGAACCTACGGTTTGGGCTCCATTAAAGAATATATCCCATTGGGAGGCAGATTTAGGTTCCTCTTTGGAAGTTAAGGATTGGATAGATATTTGGGAAACAGCATCCAAAATATCGATATGTGTAATCTCGCAGGAACAGATGTTTAAAATATTGCTTAGATGGCATGTGACCCCCGTCTTTTTGTATAAAATAGGTAAAAACTTGACAGATCTTTGCTGGTGGGGATGTGGCCTACAAGGGACATATTTACATATGTGGTGGGACAGGGCCGGACTGGCCCACCGGGATACCGGGAAATTTCACGGTGGGCCGCGGCACCTGGGGCCGGTCTGACAGCCCTGATCATTGGGCTGACCGCTCCTGTGCAGCCCTGTAATCCCGGCCGGCCATGTGTGAGCTGTGCGGCCGTACAGAGCCCCATGGGAGCAGGGGGAGCCAGGCAGCCGGCACAGCTCACATATGGCCGGCTGGGATGAGAAAAAAAAAAATTGTGGCGGGGCGGGGCTTACGTGCGGTGGGGGCGGACCTAGCGTGCGGGGGCGGGCTTGGCGGGGGCCTGGCTGACTGCAGCATGGGAAGCAGGAAGGAGTTCCTGCTTCCCTAACAACCAGCCTCCAGGAGCTCCAAGCAGGAGGGAAGAAGCAGGTCAGTGAGTGTGTGACTGTCTGTGAGTGTGTGACTGTCTCTGTGAGTGTGTGACTGTGTGACTGTGTGTGTGTGACTGTCTGTGTGTGTGTGTGTGTGTGACTGGGTGTGTGTGACTGTCTGTGAGTGTGTGACTGTCTGTGTGAGTGTGTGACTGTGTGACTGTCTGTGTGTGACTGTGTGTGTGTGACTGTCTGCCTGTGTGTGACTGTGTGTGTGTGTGTGTGTGTGTGTGACTGTCTGTCTGTGTGTGAGTGTGTGGCTGTCTGCCTGTCTTTGTATGTGTGGCTGTTTGCCTTGGTGTCAGTGACTGTCTGCCGGTGTGTGTGTGTGTGTGTGTGTCTGTCTACCTGGGTGTCAGTGACTGTCTGCCTGTGTGTGTGTGTGTGTGTGGCTGTCTGCCTGGGTGTCAGTGACTGTCTGCCTCTGTGTGTGTGTGTCTGTGCGCGCATTTGCTAGTGAGGGAGCCTC